AGCCTCAATGATTTTTGTTGATATAAGCGGACCAAATTAAAAAAAACAAACAAACAATGGAGATTGCCTAGAGACGAGGTTGTTTCGCTAAAAAAATAGGTCATGGCAGTCTCCGAAGGAAAATGAAAACAAGACGTGGATATAAAAAAGGGAACATGAAATTGACGTCATTTGGCTCTTATTAAAGTTACATAAACTGGTCAGGCTGGATATAATAATAAGCGGAATATCATATCGTATAAACCTTTTCCAACTGCCGTTTCATTTAATAAGCAGAGTTGAACGGACGTGAAGATGTTGATCGCTTACAGTCGGTTAGCTGACGTCAAGATGAACAAATTCCAAATCTAAATAGTTTATCAGAAAATATATTCAGTTTACAGAAGGCATCATAAAAAATGGCTTCAAAATTACAGACATTTCAGTTTATATTCTTTTCTCATTATCCAGAGATAGTCGTGCATTTCGACCTGGTGTAATGCTTAGCAAGTTTGTCTTGCCAAATCAGTTATGATTGAGTAGTGTGTTCGTACCTCACTGGGTGCCCCATATTTTCGACCTTGTGCCACATCTTAGCTACGCCTAGACAATCATCATTTTGGACACTTCGACGTGGTGCAATGGTTAGCAAGCTTGTCTCACTAGATCAATTACAACTGAATATTGAGTTCGATCCTCACTGGGTGCTCTATTTTTCTGGCCTTGTGCCACATGCAAGCTGCGTTTAGAAATTCATCATTGAGTTCTTCGATGGAATGTAATAGTTAGCCACTTTGTCTCACTAGATCATTTACAATTGAATATTGAGTTCGATCCTCACTAGGTGCCCCATTTTTTTTGGCCTTGTGCTACATCTAAGCTACAATCAGAAAATTACCATTTCGACGTGGTGCAATGGTTAGTAAGCTTGTCTCACTAGATCAATCAGAACTGAATATTGAGTTCGATCCTCACTGGATGCCCCATGACTTCTGCCTTGTGCCTCATCTAAGCTATGCTTAGAAAATCACCATTGTTCAGGTTCCGTTTAAATACAGAAGGAATCATAAAATGTCAAACATTTCGGTTTTTATTCTTTTCCAATTACTCAGATTTTGTTGCTAGGCAGAAAGTGAAATTAGCCCCACGACACAGATGTCCATTTCACTTCAGATTATGTGCATCTATGAATTTCTTTTTAATTCAGTGACAGAGCTAAAAATATTTCTACAAAATTAAAAAAAAAATAATTACTTTTAAAAACAATTTTATTTGTTACCGAAGAATTATTGAAAAGTTCAATAAAACCTTATAATTAACAAAATTTCAGAGTTTAAAATGTTAATGGTCTTTCTCCGATAAATTAGTCGTGTTTTTTTTTTTTGTTGCATTCCAATTGTGTCTTTTTTAATATCTGAATTGGAATGTGGTTATTATTTTTGTTAAAAGTTTAACCTAAATTCACTTCATCGTCTTGAGTAATAAACAGAACATTTATTTTGTGGCTATCTTTATATTGTCAGGTTCTGGATACTAACAAATAGATATGAATTGACTGATATTGTTATAGCGATTTAAGCATAGCTGAGACGTGGCACAAGGCTAAAAATATAGAGCACCCAGTGAGGATGGGACTCTTTACTCAATCCTAATTGATCTAGCAAGCTAACCATTGCACAACGTCGAGGTGCTAGGTGAGTTTCCAAAGCTAGTTTGAATTCAGAGTTTTCCTTCACGGTTACCAATGAAGGTTATAGGGCACAATCTGTCCTGTTATTTATCCATAGCTGGGGGAAAGAAATGGATTCATACCTTTCCAAAGGGTATTAGTACGTGAAGTTAATGTAATAAACTCGACTGGAATTCGAACTCGGCTCTTCGATTCCTCAATCCGAGCAGCTATCCATTACTCCACCGCGCCCCAAGCCTTTACGCCACTTTACTTCGAAACACAGGTAAGGGGTGTGAACCGGGTGATAGGTGAATCTATCTCCTCCTATTCTTAGTTTTAAATTTATTTGATTTCCATGCAGGCATGTGAGTGAAGAGGCAGTTCGATGAAGATGAAGGTGTTGACAGACTTTTCTTGTCTTTCTTATTTTTACCTCCAATTTTAGGATTTTATTGCTCAGCACAGGGAAGGTGTTGTTCGGACTGAGCGGGAAGAGAATATATTATCTAGAACTTAATCAAATTGTTTGTGTGTATGTGTGTGTATACATTAAATGACACAAGGATATGCAAGTCAATTATACACAACACAGACATAAACATATGCATTATATATGCACAAGCAAAGTGACACGTAGACAGCGTGTGATGGACGGAGAATCAGCTCTTCTTTTATAATATCAGTTGTGGTGTAATAGATATCGGCTCGGAATGAGAATTCGGAGAGCCGAGTTCGAATCCCAGTCGAGTTGCTTATATTCACTTACGCAAAAATAGCCTTGTGAAAGATATGAATCTGTCTCTTCCCCGGCTGTTAGCATAGAATTTACGGCTACATATAGCCAACTCGATTGTAAGTTGATGAGATCTCGAAGCCAGTCTACTACTGCGCTTAAATTTAAAAAAGTCTAGGTACTATAGAATTGCGAAGAGCAATTACTATAAAAGTATTTATAGAAAAGGCAAAGGAAAACAACTTTACCGCGGTAGGAAAGTGACTGAAGCCGAGCCGCCAGATGAGGACCAATAATATTACTGATTCCTCTTTGGATTTTATCAAGGAGTTCAAGATAAATAGCAGGGGCAACGGACCATATGTGGTAGCAGTATTCTAACCACGGACGAATAGTAGACTTATATATATGTAAAATAGATTCTGAAGAGAACAGTTGTCTCGCACTACACAGTGAACCAACTTTGACAAAAACAAGGACAAATTATTAGTATCAATTGTTGTTCATTTAAGTTTGGGGTCACGGGATCAGAAAGAGAATAAGCTAAAGATCCTATATTTGATTTCACTTTTAATTTAGGTGCCATTGATTCAATAGCAAAATATTAGATTCAGTCATAAGTGATTTCCGTTTTGGAGATAATCCTAGGTATGACGATAAACTTCATCATGCAGCAAGACCTCTGATCGGGAGATTGGAGGTTTTGAGGAGCGTGGAATCACTTCTTAATTGCTGTTGTTACCAGGTCCACCTTGACCCGGGGTGGTACCACCTGTTAGAGTTCCAGCTATGGGCAAATAGTGATCCCCAAATAAACACTATGAAAGTATAAAAATACATTTTTATAGTAGAAAATACCAGCAATGAATTTTATATTGTGATGTAGTAACAAATAGAAGCTAGAAGATTCTGAAGTTGTATTTGATTCATTCTGCCTAATCGCTGAAAAACTTTTATTTTATTGTGGTCGATGGGGAGATGGGATATGCTTATTTTATTACTACATATATAAAAAAAATACCAATAATACCTATTTATAGTAGACATTACCAAAAATACCTATTTATAGTAAAAATTACCAAAAATACCAATTTACAGTAAAAATTACTAAAAATACCTATTTATAGTAAAAATTACTAACAATCCCTATTTATAGTAGAAATTACCAACAATACCTATTTACAGTAAAAATTACTAACAATACCTATTTATAGTAAAAATTACCAACGACACCTATTTATAGTATAAATTATCAACAATACCTATTTACAGTAAAAATTACTAACAACACCTGTTTATAGTAAAAATTACTAAGAATACGTATTATACGTAAAAATTACTAAAATACCTATTTATACCAGAAATTATCAACAATACTTATTTACAGTAGAAATTGCCAACAATACCTATTTACAGTAAAAATTACCAACAATATCTATGTACAGAAAAAAAAATTACTAACAATACCTATTTATAGTAAAAGTTACCAACAATACCTATTTATACTAGAAATTACCAACAATACCTATTTATTGTAATAATTACCAACAATACAATTTTAATGAAAATGACCATCAATACATTTTATAGTAGAATTTCCAACAATGCATTTTATAATAGAATTACCAAGAAACCAGTTTTATAGCAAAATGACTAACAACACATTTTATCTGTAGTTGAATGCATACAATTGCGCTTAAAATATATTTAATTGAAGCCATAAAGTTGTGTTCAAAATATGTAGATTTCGGCATTAAATAACCCATAGAGGTGTTGATATGCCACTAAACCAAATCAACCGAACAACCGTTTTCGGGAACCAATTGTAATGGCGATTGTATCATCCTAACCATTAACCATTTAAGAAAATTACTAACAAAAAGCGCAAAAGGCAGTGAATTGACAAGAATACATTCCTGCAACAAATACTAAAAACTGAATTCCAAGAAAAAAAGCTAAAGTGGTGTGTGATGAGATCGTCGGGTATTATTCATTTATAGATAGTAAAATGCAATGAAACTTCAATGAAATTTCGACAAAAAGCAGTCTGCGTTCGTCAATGTTAAAAGAATCCTGTTCTCCTCAATGAAACGGAAGGCCGCATAAAACAGAAATAAGACGGGAAAAGATTTTAGAACGCGGCTGGTCTGTTCTACCCAATCCCGCCATATTCACACCTGACCCTTGCACCAAAAGATTATGACATTTTCGATCACTGCCAGACTATTAAATGGAAAAAACTTTCTGTAATGTAAGTAAATTTTAAAAAAATCATATCCAAGAGTTTATTGAAAACGATTCACATCAAAACCTGCGGAGTTTTATTCAAAAAGTGTTGAAATAGAAAAAAGGTCATCGCAAATAATGGCGAATATACAGGATTAGTCAAAATTAGGTTAACACTAATATGAGAGGAATCATCTATTCAGAGTTTACTGAACAGTCTCCACCTGTCAACGACTCATGCACAAAAACCATCGATCAACAGTACAATTTAGTGCCTTGACACACATTTCACGGGGTATGTTTGATATTAGAGCTTTTATTCTATCCTTGAGGTCATCGATGTCTCTAACATTTTTGCTATACACACGATCCTTTATCCTACCCTATAAGCAGAAGTCACAGGGTGTAATTGGCCCATATTTCTTTACAACTCCAACGGTGACTGCAAATGCTTACTTACAAATGCTGCAAGAGTTTGTCATACCCCTTCAAATCAGACGAGCAGGGTATTTCCAACAGGATGGTGCACCGTCTCATTTTGCCCGTACTGTTCGTGCTTGTCTCAATCAAAGTTTCCCAAATCGTTGGATAGGTCGCGGAGGAGCGTTGGCATGGTAACCACATTTTCCTCATCTGACACCCTGTATCTTTTCTATAAAATCCAAAGAAGAATTTGCAATGTCATTGGTTCTGACCTGGCATCTCGGCTTCAGTCACATTCCCACCACCATAAGGTAGCTTCTATGTGCATTTTCTATAAATACTTTCATGGTAATTGTTCGGATGAACTTTCCCCTATGGTACCTAGACTTTATGAATTTAAATGCGGTACTAGATTGGCAACAAGGTCTCTTAATTTTACAGTTGAAATGAGTAGATGTAACCGTAAGTTCTATGCTAACAGTTTCTTCTATCGCACTTCTTGCTTGCGGAAACTCTCTTCCGTCTACTTGCTGCCCAGTTAACTTTGATCTTCAAAAATTTAAATGAAATGTCAATCGTTATCTTCTGTCTTAATTCTTTTACTTTTATTGTCCTCTCTCCTTAATAGTAGTTTTTCCCATATTCCCTAACACTCAGTAACCTTTTGCGTCTTAGTGGCTTTATTGCCTTGCTGTGGTGAAATAATTAAAAAAAAATTAAAATATATAAAACAATGTCCTTATTATTAAACGGCTGATTCTGAAGTCGATGAACGACAAATAATTTGATTTCTCGATGATTGCCATTCTCACACACAGAAGGAAAAGAATTTTGGAAGGAAAATAAAAAAGAACACAAAATATGATTCCTTTATTTAAATATTCTAAGGATTTCTAAAAAAAAAAAAAAATTATGTAAGGATCACTGTATATAGAGAAATATCGTAAAAAAGACTCTATAGTTATTATTTATCTGAAATGTCATTTAGGTATATACCAATCCAGAATAATACATGTTGAAATTTCTCCGTAGGCCCAATCAATCAACGCTGCAACCGAGTCATGGACACGAAACTAGTTTTCATTGATGTTCCTCAAAAGCGAAAGGAAAAGAAAAGAAACAAAAGATGATGAAGAAAGAAAGAAAGAGAGAGAGGGAGGGGGAGGGAGGGGAGGGAGGAAGGCGAGATTAAGACTCACTCTTTTGTGTGAATGTCGATTAATCATTCTTGAATTAGAAATCGTATTATCCACGACCCTGATCCTTATCACTGTAACGCTACAGTGTAATCATAGACATAAACGAATTTACGGTCAATAAAAAAACAAAAAAAAACAAAAAAAAACTAGCTGATTATCAATACTCAGTAGGGAAATGACCTCCTTAATTTATTTACTCATTGTTAAAAGAAGTAAAAATTATCGCTTTTATTGCGAGATATGAAAATTTATAGCACACTAATATCTGCTCCTCATATATAAAAGAACACCCCAGAAATAGACAACGTGTACAAAGGAATCAATATTGGATGGTGGATATAAATTTCCCGCTTCAAGTAATCTTTAGACCAAGTGTATATCTTGTTCTGTAAAGGTGTTTGTGATTTTGAGATTCCATATATATTTTGTTAGTGTTGTACTATTTGCATATATTTGTTGTTAACTATTTTGTATAAGTAATCTTTAGACCAAGTGTTGTTCTGTAAAGGTAATGTACCGATTATCGATATTTCGTCCCCGGTAAAAAGGTATATTTTTTATAAGTATGTTCTCTGTTTCCAGAGGTATTATGGTGTGTATATATATTTTTTCTTGGCTTCCTTTCGATCTTACTGTAACTTGGTATATGACATTAGTCAGTGGGCATTCGTGCTTTGTCCTGCAGTTACAACTCGGGCTATGGTTGGGGGGACTTGCAGTGTATTTTTAAAAACACTTTTACCTAAAGAAGAAAATTGCTATCGCAGCTGAACAGGCAAGAGTGAATTAAATAGAAAGTTGCCATTTTACTTTGTATTTCCGTACTGCTACGAAAGCTTCGATGACGGCTTTCAATAAGGGAGAAACCTCAATAGTAGATATATTGTACATAAACATAGCTTTATTGTGTATTAATTACTTTATCTGCACCGATATGCATAGATATAGATATGAGGGGGGAAAATGCATGACAAAGTGGAAAAAAATTTCGTGTAACGCGTTTCGTCCTTTTGGACTTTATTGGACTAAATTTGTTTGTTTTTGGCGCGACTACGCATGCGTACGAACGGAGGATGCTGGGGATTTTAAATTAATTTTTCCCTCGTTAGTGCGCATGTGTAGCTGCACCAACGCAAACAAATTTAGTCTGATGAAATCCGAAAGGACTAAACGCAGCGCACGAAAACTTTTTCCACTTTGACATATTTTTTTCTCCAATGTTGTTCTGGATATAGCGATTTTCTAAGCCCGGCTTAGATGTGGCACAAGGCCGAAAGTAATGGGGTACCCAGTGAAGATCGAACTCACTACTCAGTCGTAGATAAGCTTCCTAACCATTACACCCCGTCGAGGTGCCCATGTTGTTCTGGATATATATCGTTATCTCATATAGGTATGATATGTGATATATATATAGAGAGAGAGTTGAGAAGATATATATATAGAGAGATGAACAGATTGTGTGTGTGAGATAGATAGATAGGTAGATAGATATCTGTAATGCTTAAAAATGTCTTATAAATGCTTAAAATAATGAAAATAATTATTTTATGTAGAGCCTTTCGATCGTGAAATAAAACTGAATTCAGCAATTGTTTAGATAACTCGACCAACATCAATTTAACAGAGAGTGCAACATCCACTATAAATGTTTTTAACTTGGCTGACTTGGCTAACAGTCTAGCTCTCTGTCTTCGGGCGGAGAGGAGCCCGGACGAGGCTCCGCCGAAGGGCAGAGACTGATCGGGGTGGTTGACTGCCCCTAAAGCCGTTTATGCGGGTTCAAAGAGGGAATATTTTTGGCCGAGCCTACGAGCTCGGAGATCCCACATTAAACCCGGCCTTGTGCCACATGTAACCCTCGTGGTGGGGTAGTTAAATATCACTATGAATGTTTTGCAATGGTGACACAGATATATATTCTCTATCAATCATCTGAATCCTCTTTCTGTTCTCCATCACCATGGCAGATGCTGATCTCCACGAGAGTGACTCGTACTCGGGTTAATATTCTCCAATTATATAATGTGTAAAGATTATATTGAATACATCGCTAAGTCAGCTGCTAAGAAAGTTGGTTCATTGTGTCGTGCGAGACAATTTTTCTTTCTAGAGTCTGTCATACATATCTATATAAGTCTACCAATCGTCCATGTTGAGAAAATAGCTGCCACATATGGTCAAGTTCTCCTGCTATATAGTTGAGGATTCTTAATAAAATCCAAAGATGAATCAGCAATATTATTGATCCTGACCTGGCGTCTCGGCTTCAGTCACTTTACCACTGGCAAGGTGCTTTATTTGTGGTGTGTCCTGCTTGAAGGCGGAGCACAACTGATCTCAGTTAAAAGATTTGAGAAGCTATTAGATTAGGTATCATTTTACTATTGCGGGACCCTAAAATTCATATAAACATCGTCGTACTTATACAAATTACAAATGCACACACACACACACACACACACACACACACACACACACACACACACATATATATATATATATATATATATATATATATATATATGAAGAAATGAAGAAATATAGTTTTAAGGTATGTTATCAGAGATAGAGTGTATGTAAACTTAGATATATAGAGAGATTTGAACAGACTGAAATAGATTGATAGGTAGATTCATATGATAGATAGATAGATAGATAGATAGATCATGAACGCTTAACAAAACACGTAGTCCAATAAATCACTGGAGTTTGAAACGTTTAATGAATCTATCTCACCCACCAGCTATGTATTGAATAGTAGAACAAGTTGCATCTTATAGTCTTGGTTAGGAACCATTCTACCGCAGAAAGAAATTGCAAGAAATTCTTTTGCCTAGACAATCATGAATCGAAAGAGACATGATTGCCTTAGCGTCGATCACGTATGGTATTTCACTGTTTGACTGATATTTGTAGATAAAAGTGCTCAATATTAGGGATAGAGCGTATAAAATTGGTGAATGTGATCAACACCGAGTGGCGACCGTTTGTTTCCTGCCTGAAAGTAACCGTCAGGCCATTTCTTTTCAGAATCCTATTGTATAAACGTGGCCTGAAGATTGCTTTCAAGAATGAAACAGACTGTCGATGATGGCATCAATTTCCAATTACACACACACACACACACACACACACACACACACACACACACACACACACACACAGAGAGAGAGAAAGACACACAGACACACACAAATATATATATCCGACGATTATTTTGATATGTTTTCTGTTTATACGTTATTTTTATTTATATAATTAAAGTAAAGTAAATGTTCTGTTTTTTAATTAAACAGTATTAAATACTTTTACCGGCCTGAATATTCGAGAAATTTCGTAGAAAAGTGTGCCAACAGGAATCGAACCTGTAACCCTAATGAGAACCATCATTTGATTTGATTTGCTGTTCAGCTAAATAGAAGCGTCTGGTCAGCAAAGTCCGAATTACTGCTGATAAAACTTCAACAATTTTTATCGATCTATCATTTCTGCTCACGAAACATAACTTAATGTAAACATATCTTAATGTAAACATATCTTAAAGTAAACGTATTTTAATGTAAACATATCTTAATGTAAACAGTGAGTACTAAAAACCTAAGTCACTGAACGATTTGTTTCGCCCTGTTCGGATGTTTTTAGTTCTTTCTTTTTTTTTCCAATTTTTTCCTCGGGTACCAGTTAGTTTTGATAGACTTGCAAATTGAGCTATCCGAGGTTTTTACCAACCGACGAGTATTACTATTAATATATATATATATATATATATATATATATATATATATATATATATATATATATATAATTATTTATTTAAAAATTATAACATAAATATGTTAGAAAATCACTACAAAAATAGCCATTTTGTTTCAACACATTTGGTGTCTTATTAAGTCATGATGTTGAATGTAGATTGTAGAATGAAGGTTTTAAAAGGTTCAAATTAACTAACCACCCCTCGTAAGGGGAAACGCTGTTACATGATATATATAT